AGATAAATGAGACCAATCAAGTAGTACATCATTGTTAGCAGAACATAATTGTTCAAGGAATAGGATCTTTTTGTGCCAGAGTTGTTGTTTAAAAGTGTGGTAATTGGGGTGTTGAGAAAGAATGTTTTCAAGAGGGAGGCTACCACCAGATATGGTTTGTGGGTACGAATCAAAAATTGTTTAGTTAATAAAGTTATTAAATATAATATTTTTTTAGGAATAGATTGAAAATTTTGACAAAGAAATGAGAGAGTCAAATCTTCATATTTTACTTATCTTGGATGGTGCTTCTTTACATGTTACTGGTGCTATTACTTAAACTAATGTAGAGGTGCTTAAGCTATCTCAAAATATAATATCAAAGATACAGCCAATAGACACTAGCATCATTGCATTATTTAAGCTTCATTATCATCATATGCAACTTCAACATGAAGCTGAGGAAAGCAATATATACAAAGTTAATCAGTTGCAAGCTATAAGATGGGTAAAGGTTAGTGTTAGTATTAAATTATGTTTAAATTTTTTTTTAAAAATAAATTGAAAATAGTTCAAATGTTAGACAATATGAATTTAATTTATTGGTTTTCATTACATTTATCTTTTAAATTGACCCAGCCAGCTAGCTAGCTTTTTTTTAAAAATATCATAAAGTTTTTTATAGCTATTCTTATAAATTTTGAAACAACTGATAAAAATTGTTTTGGCCAAATTTGATAAGTTTTAAATTTAGTGTTTTCAATACTACTATAATACTAAAATCCAATACCAATGATACTGAATTCAAAAACTTAATGAATTTTGCTAAGACAATTTTTATCAATTTCTCAGAATTTATGAGAATAGCTATAAAATCAAAAAATTTTTTTTCAAGTTGACCCAGCCGGGTTATGAAAACCAATTGATTAATTTTTTAGCCTTATATGTTCAATTAAAAATTTGCTACATTCATAATTTTTTAATTAGCCAAAATATCAATAACAATAAAGATTGTCTGGAATGAAGTGTCTGCTAGCACAATCAAAAATTGCTAGTTCTATACAAAAATTGTATCTCCGCGTGATAAAGATGAAGCACTAGTTGTCCTACCTTCTCTTATTGAAAATGTGGAAGAAGGTTTGTTTTTTGATTATGATAATGAATTAGCTATCAAGAAGCTTCAGCAAATACTGAATATATTGCATGTTCGTAATCCTATGCCAATTGAAGATTTGTTAAACCTTGAAAAGAAAAATGTAGAGATATATCAACAATTTAATGATGATGACTTTATTTAAGCTGCTACAGAAATAGACTATGTAGAAAATGAAGTTATTATACAACCCTTAACTAGAAAAAAACAATTGAATATTTTGAGCAGCACTCTGCAAATTGTTAATGAAAGAATTGATGATGGTGAGGTTATAATGAAGTCTTTATGCAAGCTTCAATCACATATTCATGAGGAGGTATGAAAGAAAGAGGCTGAAAAACAGGTTCAATTACACTGGATCAATTCTTTTAAAAGGGTAAGCTTTAAAAATAAAAATAACTTTGATTACAAGGTAATAATATAGCAAACAAAAATATTTTAAAAAATAAATAATCAGTCACTTATCAGTATAGAGCATTGATTATATATTGCTTAGCATTTAGCTAGTAAAATATATAAAATAAAAATTTAAGTTCATTTTTGATATGGTCGCTAATGCAAATTTTGTATACCATAAATATTCAATATCTGATTCGATATACTGTAGTTTACGCATAGTCATAGGTTTTATAATCTTCAATAAATATATAGTAAATGGCCAATGCTAAATTTATAGAAAGATTTGAAATGAGAATGTGGTGACTTAGTGAAGTGGTGGAGTTGTCACACTCCAGACAGCAGGTCTAGAGTTCGAATCCCATGGATGATGTTTTTGAAAAATAGCCCTGTAATATGGTTAATAGCTATTCGATGATTGGTAGGATCTAGAAATCTGTAATCTCAGTCACACCATCTAGAATAGGAGCCTTGGTGTAATAAATCTGAGATACTAAAAGAACTGAAAACCTGTTTGGCAAGTCCTGAGTTGTGAGGTAGTGCGATCTTTAACAGTACTACAGGAGGACTAAATTTGGAACCAGGGACTGAGATCAGAGAACCAAGCGACCAGGTTTTTAAGTGAGGGGATATAATAGCCAAACTGCTGGGCTCCCAAAATCAGAGGAAAAGGACATGTGCTCTGGAAGCATGTATCAAGAGAAGGAAGACCATATAGATATCTAAAGTTTAGGTGAACCAACCCTTCTGGGTTGCTGGCTAGAAGTAAGAAAGAGACCAATAAAGAATCCAGAAAAGAAGGAAAGTTCGAATATGGGTTCTGGGGTTGTGCAAACCCAAATACAAGGGCAAAGAAGTACGTAACAACTACTAAAATAGGAAGGTTGTAGTTTGAGATACAGATCGGGTTACAGCAGTATCTTAAAAGATAGCTTGAGACATGAACCCGGTAGCGGCAACACAACAGGTACTAGATAAGGAAGAAGTTACCGAACATGCAGATAAATACATGTGTGAGACATGTATTGCTTTGTTAGGTTTACCTTGAGGATAAATTAGTCCTAAGTAGAGTGTGAAATCTATAGGTGTCACAAAATTTAGCATATGAATAGTAAGTTACACCTTGGTTAGGTAAGAAATGATGGGCTGGTTGTGAATAGAGAGTTTAAATAGGTAATCCCCTAGTTGGGTTGCAGGTATAGTAGCTAGTATGGAACCTTGGTAGACTACTTAAATAGACAACCAAAAGTTGCAAGTATGGCTAGTCGTACTCTCACTTGTAAAAACCAGAAAGCTTAAATAGATAATCTTCTAGTTAGATTGCAGATATGGTGGCTAGTATAGAACTTAGGCAGACTATTTAAATAGATAACCAAAAGTTGTACGTGTGGCTAGTTGTACTCTCATCATAGTTGTAAAAAGCCCCTAGTCATAGAGGTCCTTTTAACACTGAAAAAAAAAAAGATTTGAAATATGTAAATTTGACTTGCAAGAACAGTCTATATGTACAAATGTAGCGTGTTAGTGAATTTTATACAATTTGATTGGATAACCTTCACATAACATTATTTAACAAATCGGAAACCTAGATATAAAGACTATCAGTTATTGGAAATTGCAGTTATTGGATATTGATTATAGAACAAGCATGGTGGCTTGATTTTTAACTGATTATAGCAGGTTATTAGTTTTGACAGGATTGGTTTTGGGAGGGTTGACTATACACTCTTTTTATCCCAACTAGTCATGCTACCAAATCTTAAGGCAGACTAAATCCAAAAAAATTTGTTAATTTTAATACGAACCTTCTTAATCTCTTAAACTCAATTAAACTTAAAGATGCAACCCAAACCTTAGCTCTTTCAAACCTCTTAATACTTACTTTTTAAATTCTCCCAATCTTTGCAAATAATGTTGCTTTTAACACTTTTCAACATATTGCAAACTTCAATCTTCATTCCCTAAACCTTATATTCTATATAGATAGATCTGTAATCAATTTAGACAATTCTCAATGTTCTATGGGTATTGGCTAGATACAAGTTGAGAACAAAAGAATTCTTAATATATTCTAGATACAAATCTTACTCTGGCTCTCCTATACAAACTCAATAATATTGAAGTCAACCCAACCAAAGATGATCTACTTTATATTTTTCTAAAAATGCCAGAACATCAAACTATACATTCTTTTACAATAATTAAACAATTACTTCTAGAAAACCTGAAGATATAATTAAATATTTAGATATCTTTTATAATGATAAAAAGTCAACTAAACCAACTCTTAATATATTATACAATAAAATAAAAAACTTTCTACTCTTGATTAGATATAAAAAATTACTACCTTCTCAAATATCTTTACTATTTAACTTTATACTTTAATCATCTTTAGAATTTCTTCTACAAATAATATCTATTCAACAAACCAAACTTTCTTGACTCTTATCTACAGAGGGTGACAAAAATAAATTCACATCTAACTCAAAAACTTACTAATTAATTTTGGCTTTTATTTATTTATCTAAGTCTATATCTCTCTGTAATCATGTGATATTATTTTTAAATTAAATACTTGTATAATTAGCAAGTTATTTAATTTTATTTTTAGAGTTTTGAAAAATTTAGTAAGTGTCTGTGTTTTTTTAAAAATATTTTAATATCTATTAATTCAAATTTGATAAAATTTTAATATATTATAGTAGAAGATATTTTTTATATAATAT